CTATAATATAAATATATTCTTAAATTAAAAATAAAAAAAATATATCAAATTTATTAATATCAGAAGATAATATATAATAAATATATTTAATAATAAGAATATAAGTTAAAAAAAAATAATTGTATCTTGATATGGAATAACGAAAATGAAATACGATGAAATAACGATATCCTATATAATTAGTTTTTCTTAGCTAACCAAGTTTACCACTGAAATATAATACTATTGAAGAATAAGCTCGAGTATTATAAATTATTTGCCAACTATCATAAGAGAATGAATATGATGATGAACCATGTATAATAATAAAGTTTTTATATTTTTAAAAATATTCTTTCGTTTGAATAAATGTTAACAATTCTTTAATCTTATTAACTTTCTAAATAATTATTAATCAATCATTTTGTAATCATGTGACACAAATTTTTAACATTATACATAATTTTATTTAGCGATGTTTGATCTGAAAAATTAAAATTAAATTTATTGTGTATTCAACCTATCTACCTTTGTTAAAAATATTAATTGATAATCCGTATTACAAATATTAGTATTTGATATTAACTTATATAGACAGAAAGATAATAAATTTATCCAATATATAATTAAAAGGTTATGCTTATGTCAGCTTGACAATATTAAAGCTATTTTTAAAAATTTGTAATTATTCAATTATTTTAAAACCAATTTAAAATTAAAATTCTAATCAAAATTAAATTTCTATCATAAATATGTATAAAATTATATATTAAATATTTTATAATTTTAAATATATACATATAAATAATTATTAATATTAAAAAGAAATAAAACAAAAAAATTCTATCAAATCGATATATAAAACTTTAATAAAACTTTTGCAGAATAAAATGGATGAATCCTCCAGCATGTACTAATGAAGCATATACACCTACCTCTGTAGAACATATAGCAAATGTAACTACTCATGGAATTTGGGTTGTACCATCTGTCATAGGTAGCTTGGAACTGGTTCGTCGTTCTATAACATGGACTCAATTAATATCAGCTTATGTATATGGTACATCTTTGATCCTTGTTTTCACAGTCTCAACATTTTTTCACAGTGTACATTACTGCAATAATAACAGGTACTTGTAATTATATTCGATTGATGGAAAATAATGTCGGTTTATAAATGCAAAATATAAATCGGTTTACTATAGCGTACATCCAGTTTTGAAATTTTCATTTTAATAATTTTTATTTGCATAAATATTTTAAAAATATGTATAATTTGTTAATAAATATTTTTTATTGGCTTTTATTTAGCATTTATTTTTTTTTTAAAATGGAATTCTTCATTATTAATGAATATATTTGATCGAGATTTATCTTATGCATATGATGTACTTTGAAATTTCGATCATGAAATTTAGAAAATTTCATGATTTTAATTCATATTTGTTTTAAAAATGTATTAAATATTTATTTAATAATATTTTTATTAATAAACATTAAATATTTTTTTAAAGTTGACTTAATTATAATTATAAAAAAACAGTATCACTATAACTATTCAATCTATAATTTTTAAATTTGGACGAAAATCAAGTATTTTATGTACGTAAAATATAATTCTTCTCTAATAAAATATAAAATATAATTTTTATCTAATAAAATAAATTAATAATAAACAAATATTTGAAATTTTACTATTATCTTATGTAGATTTAAAAATGATATAACTTTTCCATCAACCTAATATATTTTAAATTAATTTGATATAAATATTTATAACTTTCTATTTATGAAGCAAAAATTAAGAATAATAAATAAAATTTTTAATAAATTATATATTACAGACAACTTAAAGAAACATTACATCGTTGTGATCGTGCTATGATTTACATTTTTATTGCTGCAAGTTATTTTCCTTGGTTCAATGTAGATCATTTCCCAGATGATGAAATATTATTTACAATGCGTTATGCTATTTGGATTATGGCAACACTGGGCATATTGTATCAACAAATCTTTCATGAACAATATAAAATGTTAGAAACAATTTTTTATTTAATTATAGGAATTGGTCCTAGTATTGCAATTATTAATGTAAGTATACAATTATAAGTTAGAAAATTTTAAAAGATCATTATTATTAATATGATCAAATATTATTTGAAATTATATATTTTAATATTTACAGTATAGTTATTATAATATTATTGAATTAAAATTGGGAGGACTGCTTTATATTTCTGGCTTATTGTTTTTTAAATCTGATGGAAGGATACCATGTGCACATGCAATTTGGCATCTTTTTGTTGCTGTAGGAGCTGGTCTGCATTATTATGCTATATTAAATCATGTCTTTCCTATAGTTTGTTCATCAGATAATTTTATGATACCAGATGTACCATCATTACCAAAATTATTAAAATCTAATATTGAAGAATTATAAAATCTTCTAGTTTTGTTTTTCATTGTATTAAATGAAATCAATTTTACAAATTGGAAGTTTTAAAATTGATAAAATATCAAATATTAATTTGCAAATTTAAGGTAAGATTATTAAAATAAAGTTTTTCTAATTATTTATAAAATTTTAAGAAGTAGAAATTATCATCATGTATGAAAAATGTACTACTTTTAGAAAGTAACTATATTATGTACCTGAAATATACATAAAAAAATATTATTCATAAATTATGAATACTTGTCAAAATATAAGAAAGATAGAGATAATAAAATTAGAGATAAATAATTAGAGATAATAAAATTAGAGATAAATAATTAGAGATAATAAAATTAGAGATAATAAATTACTTAGCTATTACAAGATTATAATTTAAGATATAATTTTCTATGTATTTATACAAGAAAAGTAACTTATACATTTAATAATACTTTTTGTAAATCAATAATGGTAAAAAAAATATAAATATAATATTATAAAAAAATATAATACAAAAATGGAATATACTATATTTATCCAAATATATTGAAAGATAAGACAATTTAAATAATAGAATAATAAGTAGTTATTCTTTGATTCTTTGTTCTATTAGATTTCAATTTATTATTTATAATAAATGATATTAATAATAATAATTAATAATATTACTAAACAAGAATGTAGTTATCTATATTTATACTATATTAAATTTACATAAAATATTGTTTTTATCAACTATATTCTGATACATTCCATTTTGTCTAGAAATAATTCAAAATATTGTAAATAATATGATTTGAATATTATTCAAAACAAAATATGAATGATCATTAATTTGGAATTTGTAATGAATATATTTTTTGTAATGATATTGTTTTATATGTAAGTACATATATGAAAGACATATTGATACATATAGATAATATTATGAAAATTAAACTAAATATTGTAATAAAATTCATTCGGATAAATGAAGTTTTACAGTAATAATGACACTTGAATGATGCATAACATATTGTATACATTATCCATTTAAAATAATGTATAGCAATTATTTTTTAATAATATTAAATAGACTTTTTATAATATATTATATTTTATAAAAATCTGTTTCTATTGTGGGACTAAAATATAATTTTGTAATTAATATTTATCTAATAATGAATGAGAAAACTATTGTAATTGTTTAGTAACTCATTTTCTATATTTACAACAATAATGTGCCAAAATTTATATTTATATTCAAATTATTTCTATAACAAAATAACATCCATTATTAATTTTACACAGAATAGAAAATGCTATACAAAAAAATATATTCTATATTCTATAATTGTTAATAAGTATTTTTAATTTTTTTTCTTAAAAAGATGTTGTAATTGTAAAAATATATTGACGATACATGTAATTATTATTTTGTTCTTTTCCGGTTTATTTTATTACACAACAAAAAAATATGATTATAATGTATGTTGTAATATTGTAAATTAATAAAATACTTGATATATATGTATATACAAATAAAAAATTAAATCTTTATAATCAAATGAATAGAAATAAAGTAGAAGTCATTATTTTGAATGTATATTAAAATATATATATATAAATATATTCATGAAACACAATATAAATAAAAAATATAATTAAAAAATTAAAAGTATTTTTACGTAAATTATAAATAATTTATATGGATATTTATATTTAAGTACTTTTAATATATTAATAATCTTTTTAAGACTATTAAAATAATCTTTTATTTTTCTCACGGAATTGTTTCTTACGAGGTTAAAGCTTATTTAGATGTTTCATGAACATATAGTTTCATGAAATATATATTCACATAAAAATACTGAAAATTATATAGATCAGTTCATTTATTATTCATTTATTATTTTTCTATAGTTGTATCGCAATCAATTTTATCAAAATCACCTTTCAAAATTATTCGATTAATATTGGTAAATTAGTTAAAAATTTTTTTAAGAAATTCTAGTTTTATTATTGATTATGAATAATTTTAAATTTCGTTTTTTATTTAAATACGATTTAAATAATGAAGCAAATTCATAGACTGACAATATAACTATAATTTGATTATTTTAATGATAGATATAATAGAATTACAAAATAAGATTGGCCGAACATATCATATCATAGATAAAATTATATGATACTGCATATCAATGAGTGAGCGAAACTCATTGGACAATAAAAAAAATAATTTTCCTTTTTTATTGATTAATAGAAATATTATTAATAGATATAAAATATTATATGATCTCATCTACAAATACTCTAATCAATGTATGTGCTTATTTGTATGTTATTTTAAAAAAAATAACTAAAATTCTTTTCACATAATATAAATAATAAAAATAGTTCTTTTCAAATGAGTTTCATATTTTACATAATAAAATAACATCATAAAAGCGATATTTATAATTTATAATAACGATTTTTATAATAACGAATTTTTTAGCTCATTAATTGTCTATGGCAATACTGTGCGTTTGTGTTATTACTAAAGATATTGGTTTAAACTTTTTTATTATTTGAACAAAGTTTTATATATTATATTTATTATATATATGTGTAATATATTTTTATAAATTTTTGTGTTTTAATTATTATTATAATTGAATACGAGAGAAAGAAATCATATATTATTGAATTAACTTGTCGCGTGCTAAAGAATTGAGAAATGTTTTCTATGAATTTATTTAAAGTTAATTTTTTTAAACGATTAAAATATTTTCATAATAATACTAATATTATGATTAATAATTATGCATTAATCAATAAAAAATGTAATGTATTCTTATCGATGAAATCAGTATTGTATCCAGATCGTAAAATAATTTATATATTTCCTTATATTAAAATTCCTTATATATTAAATAAAATAAAGCGTAATTGCACAATTCTTTTTGGTGCATATATACCAATAACTGTATCTTTACACATGTGGAATTATATAACATTAAATGAAAATTTAAATACTTTATTTTACAGTAAGTTTGAATAACATTTAATATTTTTATAATTTTTTAATTGTGTTTCATTAAATGTGAAGTTTTATTAATGTTATTTATTTTAGCTTTTTTATTAACCTTCATATTACATGTTATTACTCGTCCATGTAATAATTCAGTTGGATCAATATATCTCCAAGAAAGTGAAAAAGATTTCAGAGATCAAAAAGTTATAATATCATATGTGAATTATTGGGGTAAAAGAGTAAATTTCGAAACTGTTGTTAAGAATATCATTTTTACAAACGATTCTAATCTTAAATTATATAACAATTTGAGTATTACATCGTGTAAAAATGATTTGAAGATATTTATTAAATATGGAAAAATTATAGAAAAAAAACATTTTTATAGTATTTTTAATAATTTTTCATAATTATTATTAATTTGATTAAATAAGTGATAAATAAATATTAATATATATATATTATTTATTATTATTTATATATATATATATATAAATAAATATTGCTATTATAATGAAGAATAATTTTATTTTTAATTTTTTTTTTATTATTTTATATATCTTATATAATAATATTATATATTTTAATATTATTTTTAATATTTTTTTTACAACCATCTGTAATGTGCATAAGCTCGGTTTGCTTCGCATAATTTATGTAATTCTTGTTTCTTTTTAATAACTCGACCCTGAAATATGAATTAATAGTGATTAAATGCAATTTTTATATTTTAAAAATTTTGTTTATATAAAAAAAAATAATTTGTATCATTATATTATATACTATTTAAATGCATAATAAGTTAAAAGTATGTAAATATACTTGATTTTTTGCAGCATCAATAATTTCTTTTGCTAATACATTAGAAAATTTGTCTTTATTTCCTTTTTCTTGTGCAGTTTGAATTAGCCAATTTATGGATAAAAATTGAGCTCTATTATCATTCATTGGTACTGGAACCTATATTTATGATATTAATATCAATTAATTTATTTATTAGTTTTTAAGGATTATTTATATAAAGAAAATTAAATTGTATAAATTATTATATAAATTATTTGTATAAATTAAATTAAATTAAATGTACCTTATAATTAATCCCACCTCTTGTTATTTTTCTTAATTCTAAAATGGGTGTACAATTTTTTACAGCATGATACAAAAGTGTCTTTGGATCCAATATTATATTTTCTCTATATTCAGGTGAAGTATTATAATATTCATTTAATTTTATTATTTTAATATTTTCAAAAGTTTCATCTAATAATTTTTTAGCTAATTGTTTTTTACCTTTTCTCATAATAAAGTTTATGAACTTTCTAATGTATAAAATATATATAATTATTTAAAAAGAGATAAAAAAAAGAAAACAATATAAGTTTTATAATAAAAAATTTACCTAACTAATATATCATGAAATTCAGAGCATGTTTCAAAATTAGTAGCTGGTTTTATAGGTGCATACATTAATTGTTTTATTTTTGCGTTTTTGTATATTAATTCTTGTTCATCTTTTTTATAAATTGGTTTTATATAATTTGGTGGGAATACACTATAAAATTGAATATCCTTTCCTAAATTATATCTATAAAAAAAAATATTATTTACATAATATTATATAATAATTGATAGTAAAAATATTTATTAAAATATTTTATGTATATTTAACAACATTATATGAAATATAATTATGAAATTTATTTAAATAAAATTTATTTTCAATAAAGATTATATGATTAATTTTCATACATAATGATATATTATAAATATACAATAACATGCATCAATTGATATTGAAATTCGAATAATATTACCTTAAATTAGATAGTATTCTTGAATAAAATGTTCTTCCAAGGACCATTTTTAATTTTTCTATCTATTTTAATAATTTTATTTATATTTAATTATCTTGTCAAATTCAACACTATGACAATATTTAAAACTATATAAAATATTAATATATAAATATTAATATATAAAATATTAGACTATATAAAATATTAAAGTTTATAATACAATAGATAATTTAATGTATGAAATAAAAAATTTTATTAAAATTAATATTATTGTTTTAATACTTTCAATTGAAAAAAATATAATCAGAGGAAAATATCATGATTCGTAAATATTTAAATATGCGAAATATATCTTTACATTTTAATGTAAGAAAGTAACTTTCTTGATAAAGTTGATACTAGCGCCTACAATGATAAAGCGTAGAACTATAATAGTTCGAGAATTCCTTCATAGAGTCTCTAAACTTCTAAAAACATGTATAGAAAACGAAAATAAGTGAACAAGCAGAAACAATTTATACAAACATAAGAATTTTTTTTAATACAAGAATTTTTTTAAATAAATTATTAATTCTAGTATAGATCAATGTAAACTTACCATTATATTTCTTTTTCACTTATACTCACGTGTTATATTGAATGGTACGTATATCATTGTTGTTTCGGTTTCGTCAAATAAGTGAACGTGATAAACTTATAATAAAGTGTATTTTTTTAAGTAGAAACAGTGTTATATTACAATTAAAATCAAGCATTTCACAAAAAGAGAGAGTAAGATTTTTTTATATAGTGATTGCAAAGAAACGAAATTGCACAAATGGTGCACTCATTGCGGAATACATATGCTAGATTGTTAAAATCTTGCGGAAAGGTCTCCTAAAAGGAGTGCCTTTAATAAGATATTTTTCTTCTGATAGTCATCTATCAAGAATATTAAAAAATGACGGAAAATCGGGGAAATTTTTCAACACCAACTACTCAAAGTAAGTTATAATGTCATAAAATTAATGATAAATATATGAAAGATTTTATATACATAACCTAAACATTAATTTCGTTATTGATAAAAAATAATAATTTTATTGAATATACATATAATATATATTAAATTATTTATATAATGGTATTATTAATATTTAGGTTCTAGTAGACAATTTAATTTCCAACATTTGGATTTTGCATCTATTAATGATGTTCAAAATGAAATGTCAGGTATAGTATCTGTATCTATGCATCATAATATTGTAATGATATAATAACATTTATATTTATTTTATAATAGAAAAAAGAAGACAATTTAAACTTAATTTTCAAACACAAGGAAGTAATATACCACTTAATAATTCAACGAATACTTCTCTTTCGAATTCAACTGGAACTGCAGCCTGTTTACCAATGTAAGTTATGTAATAAGTAAAATAATATTATAACAAACAATATTTATATTTAAATCATAAATTTTTAAATTGTATCTTTTGATATATTTATAATTTTATTTAATAATTATAGATCTTCTCGTCCAAATTTGCCTTTATCTTTGCCTAAACTACCAGTAAGATCTTGTACTGCAGTTCCACAAGAATTACCCGATAAAGCAAGGTATTTTTGAAATAATCAAATAATTGTTTAATGATGTATTTTGATGTAATTTAATGGATTATTATAGGGATAAATTACGAATGTGTCAATCAATGCAAAGTACTGGAAAATTACAGCTATCACCAAATGTAGTATATGATTTTACAAGTGAAGATCTTCAAGATCTAGGAGAAATAGGACGAGGAGGATTTGGCACTGTAAATAAAATGATTCATAGGATAAGTGATACTGTTATGGCTGTGAAGGTATATAATTTTATGTATTTTTATTATCAAAGCTATCAATCAGTTCATAATATTATATTTAATTACAGAGAATTCGTTCTACAGTGGATGAAAGGGAGCAAAAACAATTATTAATGGATTTAGAAGTTGTAATGAAATCTAATGAATGTCCATGCATTGTACAATTTTATGGAGCTTTATTCAAAGAAGTAAGTCTATAATAAATATTTAATAATAATTATTAAATTCTACATAATGATTAATCTATATAATAAAGTCTATTTAATAATTAAAATCTATAATAAATTATTTAATATTAATATTTCATTATTAATAATAATTATTATATCTCTATTTAGGGTGACTGTTGGATTTGCATGGAACTCATGGATACTTCATTAGATATATTTTATAAATTTATTCATGAGGTATTAAAAGAAAGAATACCAGAACGTATTTTAGGAAAAATTACTGTTGCCACAGTAAAGGCGTTGAATTACCTCAAGGAAAAATTAAGAATAATTCATAGAGATGTAAAACCTAGTAATATTCTATTAGATCGACATGGTAATATAAAACTTTGTGATTTTGGTATATCAGGACAATTGGTAGATTCAATTGCACGAACTCGAGATGCTGGATGTAGACCATATATGGCTGTATGTACAATAATAAAGCGTATAATTAATATTTAACAAGGTTTACAATCAGAAGTATTTAAATTTATTATAATTTTTCAGCCAGAAAGGATAGATCCTCAACGTGCAAAGGGTTATGATGTTAGAAGTGATGTATGGTCATTAGGAATTACATTAATGGAAATTGCAACTGGTTATTTTCCATATCCAAAGTGGAATTCAGTTTTTGAGCAACTTTATCAAGTAGTTCAAGGTGATCCACCACGTTTATCTCCTAATGAAAATGGGAATCATTTTACAATGGATTTTGTGAATTTTGTGAATACATGGTAAATTATTTAATAATTTTAATTATGATAAATTTTAATAAAAAAATAACGATTATTTATTTTCTGTTTTAGTTTAATCAAGGAAGAGACACAGCGGCCGAAATACAATAAATTATTAGAACATCCTTTTATCAGAAAAGCAGAAGAAGACACTGTTGATGTTTCAGCTTATATAAGTGGTGTTCTCGATAACATGGTTCTCAGGGGATTGACGCCTTTTACTACTAATCGGCATTAAGTAAAAAATATAAAATAATACATATTTGTACCTTAATTTCTATAATTTTTCAAATCCTAAATTTGAGTATTGTAAATGAATAGGTTATTTGCACTTCGATTTAGTATAGATAGTAAAATTAATCAACCGTCGATCATTGTCGATAATAAATCATTTTGTGTAGAATCATATTATCGTGTCATAAAATTCTTATATACATAGTAATTAGAAGTGTTCAAATAACAAGTTGAAATTATTGAATAGTATATAGAAGAGAAGTTCTAAATCAGCTTTTTCATTGGAATTGTAATATGGTTTCAATGAAACATGTTTAAAAAAAATTACGAAAAAAATATTTGTTTCATATCTTTATCTTTACAATTGTTTCAACGACGATAACAATTTGTAATAATGACACAGTAAAATTTTGTCAATAATTAGAAACTTGTACAATATGTAATAATATTGAAAGCAACAAGTTAAAATAATCGCTGTTTTAAGCTTTTGTAACTTCGTAATATAATAATTATTGATTTAATCAATTCAAAATAAGAATTCAATTCAAAGAAAATAAAAGAATATAATTATTCTTGTTGGAATAATAAGTGAAAAGGATATATGTTAAAAGTTTAGTATATTTCTTTGATGTATAATTATTCACAAGTAAAATAAGAAAATTTACTTTTCATAATGTTGTAATATGAATCTGATTTTTCTTATTCTTTTTTTTTTGTTATATACCTTTTTATTAAATAGCTATATATAAATTATAAAAAATAGCTAAATTTTCTCTAATTTAATGTTATAAAAGAAATATTATAAATAATAGATTGCATAATAATTTTTCTGTTCTTTTATAATATTGAAAGAAAAATTTTTAAAAAGATTTTTAAAAAGAATAACAAAATTAAAAATATTTAATAGAAATTATTTTGACTTTAAATAGTTCCTCTGTTGAATTAAATATGTATGCATGAATAAATAAAAATTAATCGTAATAAATAGTGTAATATAAACATTTTATATAGCATAATATAAAATATATAGCAAACATAATAATATATTTAATATATGTAAGCTATATACATATATGTATATATCATGCATGCATATAAAATAATTAATATTTCGAAATTGTTTTGTTTTTATAAATTTTATAACGAAAAATACTTTATAAAAATATATTATTTTAAAAAATTTCAAATTTTGCAATAGGAAAATATAGTAGTTTTATAAATAAAAATGTCATTTTTTTTCACATATTTGAATAAAACAATAGAAATGGATATAATCTGATAAATATAGATATAACATTTAATAGAATATTTTAAAATACTTCAAAAAAAAAAAATATATACTTTAAAAAATAAATTAATTACATATTAAAACCATTTTTTGACATAAATTCTACAAAGAATAGATAAAGAGAAGAAATAGTGAAGAGAGGATAAAAATTCGGGAATCAGTTTTATCTCCAAAATATCACAAATGAAACACTAATATATAAAAAAAATGAATAGTGGAAAAAAGATAAGACCGTCATCGTTATCTTTTGAGCAATATCTCGGAGATATTTCTTCAAAAACGGAATAAAATAGAATAATAAATTAGAATTCAAATCTTTGAAAAATTTTTAGAAACATGATTTTTAAAAAAAAAATGTTTTTGGCATTTAAGAAATGGCGATAATAATCAATTCTTATTCTATCTTCGTATCTTTTTCATACTTACTTATGTAATCTTATATATTGAGTTTCATTTGCGGCATTCTAAAGATGGCGTTGATTCTTGAATTTTTATTCTATCTTTGTCTTTTTTTCTACTATTTCCTTTTTTTGTCTATATTTATGTGCATGATAATAAACGAGACACGGGATATCAATTGAACATTTTCATCATTTAAATTGTAATTTAATATATTAATCTTTAATATAAAATTCTTATTTCAGTTCACCTATTTTACAACATTTATACAAATATAATCATATATTTGTAAAATACAATACTTGCAATATATACGCTTACAATAATTCTGTAATGAAATATTTATTTCATTTTTTACTTTTATATCAACTTTTATCAAATATTAAATATCAAATATCAAATATTATATTAAAATTTCGTTTCAATTTAATTATTATTAAGTTAAGTTGCAATCTTATTTCGAATTAAATCGATATCATTGAGAATTAATTAAAATTAATGAATAAAAATCAAAAATATATAAATTTTTCTTTAGATTTAAAATTTATCAATAAATATATAATATTAATAATCAATTAACTTCAATTAATACTAATTTAACGTTATTTTATGTTTTTTTGTTATATTTTTGAATTTATGATCAAATTAAATCAATAATCGAAACTTTCTTTCTAACGAATTGATGTGGAATAATTATTTAGATAAATATTAAATTAACTATAAATTATGAGTGATCGTAATTACATTTGAAAAGAAAAATATATTTGATTCGAGAAAATAAATAAAAAAATGATGTAAAGATATATGATAAAAATGTAAAATAATATTATTATAATTATATTTCATTTTGTTTCATAATATTTTAGATTGGAAATTGATTATCCAAATATCTAAAATTTTCAATTTTATAAGAAGTTGCATATGCATATGTATAAATAGTATGTATAAATACATATATGTAATAAAATATAATGATAATGATATATATAATAATTTTCTGATAACACTCTTTATCTTCTCTTTATGTAAAAATATATGTTTTACTAAAGATTCCTTATTTAAAAATTGTCAAAAATTATAAAAAATAATTGATACTTGATATATATAATTAAAAGTTTTGCTAAATTTATATTATTGATAAGCATTATTCTTCTTCTTTGCGATTGTTACTGTGGTAGTTGAAATCAATTCTCTTGAATATTTTATTAAAGCACCATCATTCTCCTGAAATCTATACCTAGTCACATTCGCGTCTATATTTGAAACTTTGCAAAGTAATATCTATTCTTTTAAATTAACCATTGAAATACGTCCACATCATCTCTTATGTTGTGACCTATAAACATTTCCTAAGGGAATATGTTAAAATTTATCGATCTTAAGTCGATCTACACTTTTGAAAGAAACATTGTTTTTCATTTAAATTATTTCAAGTTAATATTTATAATAGATAATTTTCGGAAATTTTTAACGCTCCGTTTTTTATTTCGTCTAATTTATTATTATTTTATTTTTAATTAATTTATTTATACATTGAAATATATTTCTTATCAAAAGCTAAGCAATTTTTTAATTCCGATAGAAATGATATAAACATTTTGAATATATTACATATTAATCACAGCCTTACATCACATTTTTAAATTAAAAAATTAATTTGAATTTTATACATATAAAATTTCCATTTTACGTCTTATATGTTAATATTAATTGTTTCTGCTTATAATTTTTGATACATATATATATATATTTGTAAGATATAATTTTATGATATTATAAACATATTCTACATTTTGCATAGAAAATATGAAAATAAAAAGGAAAATAACGATAATGAAAAAGTATCGATTAGAAAATAGTAAAAATATACGGATAATTCTAAAAGAAAAATTTTAGCAACAATTGGTAATGATAATAGATAGCGGTAAAACGGAAAGTGATGGTGAGTCACAACCTGACACACAGCACAGGGAGGGTAGCAGGTGCTACTACTGTTGTTGGTGCTGGTACTGTTGGTGCTGCTGGTGTTACCATTATTGCAGGGGTGACCAGCTGGATAGGCCAGCAGGGGAACGGATGTTCCCAGGAGATTATTGATCGTGTATGTAGATATTTCCACTTCAACTACGTAGACGACGATATGGAATTTTGCTCGAACAATCTATCGAACTTGTACTTTCCATCCTTTATTTTCGTTCATCTAAAATGGATAAAATTCAATTTATATCCTCGCTCAAAAAAAATAGTTACGTACAATTTCGAGAAAATAAAAAATCGAGATGGATTTTTCTTTTGGCAATGAATGCACGCACACGCGCGCAATATTGTAATAGAGCAAAATATAAGCTGTATTATTTAATTTTTAAAATGGGATGTAGAAATCTCATTTCGAATTCTATTTCTCGATAATATCGGGAAAATTGTAATTATTCTATGTATAATTCTTATAAAAATTACTTTGAGATGTATTACTGATTTAGGGAGAGAAAGAGAAAAAGAGAGAGAGAAAGTTAAAAAATATTCTTTTCAGCACTCGTTTTGAGCACAAAATGACCTACTACAACGATCATTGCATTTATTTTTCAATTTAATAATTTATGATATATAAAACATGCCGATAATAGTAACAAATTTGCGAATAACGCAATATATAATATTTAAAATTTATTCATTGTACATCGCATGAATATTTCAAATTTTTTAAAAAAAAATTATTAAAAAATAAATTACAATTAAATGCAAAATCCGTTTGATTCAACATTGTGAAAGTGATTATGCGGTCTTTCTTAATGAATACTTATTTTAAATTTTTTTCTCGATATCGCGATTAGAGGGTTGGTCAACCATTGGATAACGCCCACACGATGATCCTACCCTGGGGTAAAATGGTTTCAAGATCTCGTGCAAATTTACGATGAAATTTTCGTTCTAACGATCCTAACAGACATCGACCAATAATAAGCAAGCTTCAGAAATTTTACACGCCATTCTGAACGTCGTCGAATAGCCGCGGTTCTTTCCCCTCTCTTTTACGCTGGGATATCGCAAGTGACGGTCACTGCCTTTCTGATTCGATCAATGAAAGTACCTGTACCAGAATGTTCAGGCTATGCGACCACCCCTATTGACAATAAACCGTATGAACACCTGATTTTTATTTCTTTTTTCAATACAAACTTCGGGATATTAATATTTTTCTTTCAATGAAATCATAATCATTCTTTTGAATGCGATTCAAGTGAAATAAATATATCAATTGTCTTGAGATCGTTCGAAATTAATTTTATCCTATTTTTCTTACTCGAATCTCTCGAAATTTAGATAAAAAAATTATTTTTTTCCGATAAATATTTTACGAAAATAACGCGACAATATGAATTAACTACAAATTCGATTTTTCTTCTTTAGAATTCGTTCCTAATAATAGAAAGAAGGAAAAGGAAAAAAAATAATTATTCTATTCTAGATTCCCATGTTTCAATTTAACTTTACACAATTTTTAGACGATCCTTTATTCATTTGGTACGAATGTTACATTTTCGATTAAATACTCGAGCAATGAAAAATTTAGTAACATGATATATACTTTTACATATTTCGTAATATTACACATTATCTCTTTCGACTTTTTTCATGCATAAAAATTATTTCAAAATTTATCCAATACAAAATTGGATCCACTTGTATATCTACAATATACAATATTTCACGAAAATATTCATTATCTTAATTGATTCGTTAACTCCGAAATTCATTTAATTCCGAAAATTTTGATTTTAATTTTCCTCTCTCACACTCACATATGCGCACAGCAAAATTCTTCTTTTCCGAAGGAGATAAAAATCTATTTTTAAAATTGCACAATAAATTTCTACCAACGAGGTGTATAAAAACGTGTTGAATAAATTCGTTGAATTTAAAGAAACGTGTTGGAAAAAAAAAAAA